TGGAAGGGCAAACTCCGCGGTTGCCAGGGCGGCGAGGGGCAGCCCAACCGCGTCTGTCCCATCCCCCACCCCCCAGCCGGACAGCCCCGGGGCTCCTCCTGGGACTACTTGCGTTGTGCGTCAGCAAGCGTCATACACGCCCCTCTTCATTTCACCCTTCCCTTTCTGCACCCCCCCCCCCCCCGTCCCCCTAGAGGGTTCTATCCGGGCTGTGAGACCGCCTACTAGGATGAAAGCTAAAAATACCTTAGGCGAGTTAGCAACAGCCTTCCCATTGGCTCTCAAGCGGGGAGAGCCGTTTGATTGGCTTTTGGATGCAGCTTCTGCGTTTGCGCCTTAGGTATCGCAAGGGACGCTGGTATTTGTAGTCTATAATTAGAGGCGGCCATGGAAATAGGTGGGTTTATATCCTGGTTCTGCCACCTACTGTGTGATCTAGACTTAACGCAATGAATATTTTTAAGTCGCCAAACTTGTTTCATCTGTAAAAACTTGGAGATCTTATGGTTAAACAATACTATATGTAAAAGCCTGATTCAAACAGGTCCGTCTTCCCTCCCCGAAAATGTGTGAACTGCAAAACAATTTTATTTTTCGTCATAAATTGGTCAAATTGCAGCCTAGAAGCACTAGTTGGTGGACATTTCCCAATGCGAAACATTCCAAGACAGAATGATGAGAAAGATTAGGACGAGCTGCAATGAACTGCTGAAGGATATCTTAAAGATAGGCTTATGCAGATTAGAAAAAGCCAGGTAGATGTGTGGAAGCCCCTGGGTCTCTGCCTGTTTGTGCTTTTATTTGAATCAGCCGTGGGCAACTTTACAAATAACTAACAACCCTGAAAAATCCCGTCTCCTTGGTAAATGGGAGTTTTGAGTAAAGGTTGTGCATATAAATAGGAGAGGATAAAATGGAGAGGTAATCAGCCTTCTTAATTACTGCTGCCTCAGGTCATGTGATGAGGAATTTTCTTCTTTTCCCTAATGTGTAATTTCATCTTGCCAGGGCTTAATTGCAAACTGAATTACTACTCAAGCGTTTCCGAGTCCCCTCCCACTTAAATAACCGTATGTTGAAAGGCTTACACCACGCTTTCACAATGGTCAGCTCCGGTGACTGCGGAGCGGCAGGGTGGGAACAACTCCCCCTCGGCAAAACAAGTCATGCCAGGTATCTGGGGGCTAGTGACAGGCCAAGCTGGTCATGACTGGCTCAGTTAACCCAAGATGAGTCACAATTTCATGCACACACACACAAGGCGAATTTTTTATGTTGTTTCTTTGAAGTTATCCAAGAAAATGGTTTCTTGGTTTGTGATGGCAGTAGCTTAACAGTAGCTTCAGGAGAGGATGTAAATGTGAAAAGATTATTTGCCTTTGAGTAATTTTCCTGGCCCCCCCGAAATCAACCCCTCAAATGATTTTCATCTATTCCCAGATTATTTGATTCCTTGTTAATGTTATCCCCAAGTAACCATAACCAATTAACTGTGGTTGTATACACCTGAGTGTGGGCTTATTCACTTCACAGAACTGTATGTTTCTGATTAAAATTAAGCTTGTCCATAATGGGTTGTTTTTTAAAAAAATTTGCTGGCTTTCTTTTTTTTACCTGCATGTACATCAGTGTGATGGTGTCAGATCTTGGGGTTACAGACAGCTGTAAACTGCCATGTGGGTATTGAGAATTGAACCTGGGTCCTCTGGAAGAGCAGTCAGTGCTCTTAACTGCTGAGCCATCTCACCAGTCCCTAGTTTTCTGTTATTAAAGATAAAGTCTCATGCTGGGCCACGCCTTTATGCCAGCACTCAAGAGAGGCAGAGGCTGGGGGATGGTTCTGAGTTTGACACCAGCCTAGTGTACAAATCAAGTTCAGAATATCTCAAAAAAAACCAAAAGAAAAAGTCTCATGTTGCCCAGGTTGGCTTCCAATTTGCTACATAGTACAGGATAACCCTGGGAGCTGCCTGCCTCTAGTCCTGAGCGCTCCAATTATGAACCTGCACCACCTAGTTTTGTTTTAACTAATTTATTATGTATACAATACCTGCATGTGTGCCTTCACGTCAGAAGGGGGAACCAGATCTCATTATAGATGGTTGTGAGCCACCATGTGGTTGCTGGGAATTGAACTCAGGACCTCTAGGGAGAACAGCCAGGGCTCTTAACCTCTGAGCTATCTCTCCAGCCCCCTAGTTGTGTGGTTTTGAAGGAGCCTAGAGCTTCCTACATGCTAGGCAAACACTCCATACACAGAGCAACATCCGTAGCCTCTTTGCTTTAAATGTATTGGTGTGAGGGTGTCATATCCTCTGGAATTGGAGTTACAGACAGTTGTGAGCTGTCATGTGGGTGCTGGGAATTGAACCCAGGGTCCTCTGGAAGAGCAGTGAGTGCTCTTAACCACTGGGCCGTCTCTCCAGCCCTTCATCTTTAAAATTAAGGGGGAATTATTCTAATATCCAAGATAGATACAAGTGCAGTCTTGAGAGCTCTCACTTTATACAGTTGCTGGTTACTCGCTGTACTGGGGACTGCGTACCAAAGAGTACTCTTACCACTGACTGGCCACACTGGAGGTATTTTTTTCGGGGGGTGGGGTTTCAAGACAGGGTGTCTCTGTATAACAGCCCTGAATGTTAATGCATTCTATTCTCCTCTTGGTCTCTGATCATTCAGAAAGAAAACGAAGCAGTAATGGGACTAGGACATTAGGTAACAGAGAAATAGATTCAATTCCTGAGTTGGCATGCCCACTAACCCATGGTGAAGGGAGCATAGACATGACTGTAAGCTCCCCTAGCAGCCTTTTAGAGGCATTCCATGGAGGCAGACATAGTACAGTGTAGGGGCGATTTCCTTCAAATGGAGGCGTGGCTCCCAAACCCTGGTAGATATAAGATCTAAACCATGTAGTCAGTAAGAAGGCTGGGCATGTTGCAGTGGCAGGAGCCCGTGGACAGGCCCCGAGTTGATCCAAACACCAGAAAGGGGAAAAAACTCCCACCCCCAGGCACTACTTGTTACAGATCTAACGTTTTAAAGTTACTAGAGAAAAAATTATAAACTAAGCATAGCAGCACACATCTAATCTCAGCACTTGGAGAGGATGGGGGAAAGGAGTTCTCAAGACCTAGAGGACACAGCTCAGCTGGAGGTATAGCCAGAGTATGTCTGGAAAACAGGCAAACAGCAATGACAAAAATCAATTACAAATCCTAATCGGAAAATGATTCTGATTTTTGCATTCCGTGGTACTTAAGAACTGCTCCAGGCTTCCTGAACACTTCCTGCGTTCAAGACTACATTTCTGCATGTTTCCCAGCATGCCTTTCAAGGCTGTTTATTATCACTCAACATTGAACATGTCATCTACTGGGAAGAACATGATTTATAAGGTGACAGTTAATAACCATCAAACGCCTCAGAAGATGCTATGTGGGAACACAAAGGAGATTAGATCACATGTTGGGACATCTGAAGGCACAGGTCTGAAGGCTGGGGGGGAGGAGTTAGCTAGGCAGGGACGCCTCAGAGGGAGCACCAGCAGGTTAAAAAAGAAGGCACTTTGAGACAGAAGAACAGACGAAGAGCCTAGTGGCCATAGCAAAGTGGAAGGGCTAGGAAGGGCTGCCGAGAGCAGAGTACTTGGCACGCTATCCGTCAACTTCACCCCTGTGGTCGACAGCTTGTCCTGTTTCCCTGAGGTGCTGAGAAGACGGCCTAGGGGTCCTGTGGCTTCTAACATCCATTTCTATTTTGCCCTTTATTCCATCCTCTCTTAACTGTACTCAGTACTTTGTACTTTTTTGGTTGCTTTTTTCTGACCCAAACCAAAAACCCTCAACAAAGTTTCTTTTTTATTTTTTGAAACAGGGTTTCTCTGTGTAGCCTTGGCTATTCTAGAATTGCTTTATAGACCAGGCTGGCCTCAAACTCCAATCTATAGGCCTGTCTCTGGCTCAGGAATGCTGGGATTAAAGGTATGCTAAAAAGTTTATTCTTGCCACAAGTTTGCAAATAAACAAGACCAAGTACACAGATTCATTAGGATCCAAATCAATGCCACTAAAGACCTACTTCAACATCACACGATGCAGAAATACCCAACCCCTGAAAATTCTCGGCAGAAAGAAATATATTGACCCAAGTGGATGGGTATGGCTCAGGTTTCTAGTTTTGATAATTTACTTACAAGATTGTTGGGGCTGGTGAGATGACCCAGTGGTTAAAAGCTCCTGTTGCTCTTGAAAAGGACCCAGGTTTAATTCCCAGCACCCACATGGCAGTTCACATCCATGCATAACTCGAGGGGATCTGCTGCCCTGGACTCTGCATGCACCAAGAACGCACACAGTACACACATACATACATACATACATACATGTAGGCAAGACATTCATACACAAAGTCTATTTTTTTTTTTTAAAGGAAACCTTTTCAATTATGTATGTACTGTGTGAAACACATCAGAGTTTTTCTAACTTGCCAATTAAATTTTATCTTATTTTCCTCACCAGCTCTTTAAAATCAATACTGGCCAGGTACAATGGCAGGCACCTGTAATCCCAGCACTCAGGGAGGCAGGGTTGGTATTCTCTGTGAGTTCGAGGCCATCCAGGTCTACACAGAGAAACTCTGTCTCGGAAAAAAACAAAAACAAAACAGCATTAAAATCAATACTGAAAACAAAACAAAATAGAACAGGTCTGGTCATTCACATAGGAAATGTCAGCACTCTGAAGGCTAAAGCAACAGGATTCCAACAATTTCCTGGCCAGCCTGGGCTAAGGAGCGAGACAAAAACAAAAAGTTGGATAGGAAGAAAAAAATGAAAGTAAATGGACTTCTTCACCCACGGTAAGGGGCACAGGTGTCGATTCTTTTTAGTAAGAAGACAAGGCACCTCATCAACCCCGCAGCCTCTATCACAGTTGAGTCACCAAAACCTGAAGACCAAAAGGAAACTCTCAAAGTTAATGGGGAAGGTAGCCAACTACCAGAAAATACGCACAACTTTATTACAACAGAAACTTCCAATGTATAAGCAAAATAGCATGAAATTAGTGCCACTTGGGAAGTGTCACATCACATTACTGTTCTGATGGCTCCTGGCCACACTGAGGATCGTGGAAGCATCATAGCTGCTGCAAGACCATGCTTTTGACGCGCGGCTTCATCGTCAAGGCCATAGACTTGTTTGAAAGCGTTTAGTGTGGAAAGAATCAATGTAGAGAGCAGAGCATTGCTTTTCCAACAACAAAAAACCCCTCAAAAAAACAAAACAAAAAACTATGAACTAACCTAGCAAATTTTCTTCCAGTCTGCTAGAATGTTCTATGAAGAACCCTCTTCCATCCCCACCAGCACAGTGTGGGAAAGAAAGGGTGGCAGGGGGCCAGGACACTAGCGCTAGCAGGCTGTTCTGGTGACACTCTGGGCTCCGCTCCTTTTCTGCTGGTGGTAGTAGGCGTCTTTTCTGGCAGCTGCAGCAACTTGATGGGAGAAGAAGATGCCACCACCCATCACCTCTTCTTGAAGCCATATTTTTTGCGTTCATAGAAGAGGTCTGTCTTAGAGCTCCCCAAGTTGACAATCTTTGGGCAACCATCTCTCTGAAAAACAGAATAGAGTTAAGTCCTTGAAACCTCAAGTGATTTAAGATAAAATCTGGCTCAGGAGTAGAAAAAGTCTTAACTCTTCACCTTAGTACCCAAGAGCTCTGCAGAAGGCTGCTTGAGGACTTGCGTTTAATGCCCGGCACCTCCCTCCACAAAAAAACAACAAAAGACCCAATCAGCGTCCCCCCCCCCCCCCCCATAAATGTGTCCAAACACCTCCATTTACTTAACTGAGGAAGCCTCCCCTAGATCAATTGGTACTGTCTCTTCCTTACCTTTTATGAGTTTTCAAAGACAGCCCGCCCCCACAGGGTTTCTCTGTGTAGCCCTGGCTGTCCTGGACTCACTTTGTAGACCAGGCTGGCCTCAAACTCAAAGACCCACCTGCCTCTGCCTCCCTGAGTGTTTGTTTACATTTATTTAGTATGTGTGTACACACAGCTTTCAAGGACACATGGGCTGTAAGGACTGAACTGGCTGTCAGGTTTAGTAAAGGCCTGTACTCACTGGGTCATCTTGTCCGCCTCTCAAAGACCATTTTATAGGTTTTGGGTTAATTATTTATCTTTTCAGTTATTCTAAATAAAAAAACCAGTGAGAATGGTAGAAATAGCAAGACAACAAAAGAAAGAAATGTTTCTCAGCTTGAGAAATGATGTTGAGGTGGTCAGAGGAAGTGCACAGACCAAGCATGCCCATCTGCACAACTCACACTGCCTTCTGTCTCCAACACCACAATAATCTGCAACTTGAATTTCATTCTTGGCAACATCATCTTATTCCTAGTACTTAATTTCTCATTAGAAACATTTGGGTGCTGTGGATTGGCTTAGAGAATTGGTCACTATTCCAGAGAACCCAGGCTGGGTTGCGCAAAATACCAGGTTCAACCAAATACCCCAAATAAATAGAAATAGTTTCAAAACTGCACAAACGTTAATTATTGTTTTTTGATACAAGGTTTCTATGAGTAGCCTTGATTGTCCTGGAGCGCTCTCTGTAAAGCAGGCTGGTAATTATTTTTCCTATTCTCTGGTCGGGAGCAGGGTCAAGGAGATTTGCTTGCTGTCACAGCATGAAAACGCACAAATTAGTCCTCGAGTATCAAGGTTTGGTGACACCAGTGACTCCTGGCAGGCTTTCTGTTTTGTGAGATAGGGTATCCTGGACTGGTTTTATTTATTTTATTTTTCAGTTGATCTGTGTAGCCCTGGCTGTCTTGGAACAATCTGTAGAAAAGGCTGACCTTGAACTCTGAGATCCATCTGACTCTGCCTCCTGCACGCTGGAACTAAAGGCATATACCACCAAAGCCTGGCCCCAGACTAGTTTTAAACTGGCAATTCTCCCTCTCAGCATACCAATTGCTGGAACTATACGCATGCACTCCACACACAGCTCCTGATTGCTGATTATTTTTGAGGTTTTGAAAAACTACAAATGAGGACACCCAGCTTAGCTTACAGATCTAATTAGCTACCTTATAAATTATAAAAGCCGCAGAAGGAGAGAACAATAGGGGGTGTGTGGCTTCTGCTGTAGGAAGATTTCTGCACAGGAAAAAGCCTAGGCACTTCTTGGACATGACCATCTGTCTGTAAGGATGAGAGGCTGGATCATGTCACGGTACTGCTTTGTTCCTTGGAAGCTAGTGCCGAGTAACTGTGAGCTTGAGCTCAAATATCCTCAGAATGTTCCTGTATAATGTGAAGTGGGTGAAGTGACGTCTGAAATAATTCTCAGGGGCAGAATGAGGGATAGGGATCCAAAGGTATCAGATCACACGTTGAATGTAGACAAGTCAGATGGCAATTACAATTAGTGAGCATTCTCTGGTTCTAAGCTTGAGCCAGATATAGACTCTAGTCATAAATGAGAGTGCTCAGTAAAGTGTCTCCACGGACCCTTCAGATTAAGAACTGCACGTACCTTTTCTTTCTATCACCCTAAGTCCGCCCCAAATCCTAAGAACCACATGTTCAGGGTGGAGAGGGGTCTCCCGGGAACACTTTATAGGGGTAGCACTAAAAACGAGTATCACCCTTGTACTACAAAATTAGGCCCTGTTTCCAAGACCTGGGAAAAGGAGAGGTAGAGGAGCAGATCCACAGCTGTAGAAGACAGAATATGATCAATCTAGTTCTAGTCGTCAAAGGAAATGGAGGCAGTTTAGGGGAGAAGGGTGTTCAAACCACCAACTGTATGATTTCATACTTAACGACAACTTTCTCTTTTTCCCAAACAACAGTGGATTGCACAGAGTAAACAATGCTTTTTGGCTGCTCTGAACCGCAATCCTGGGTCAGGCTGCCCCTCTGGCTAATAGGGATATGGAAAACCAGAAAGCAGATACGAGCTTACTGCTATCTTTGAATTGGCAAGATGGCTTAGTGGGCCAAAGCACTTGCCACTAAGGGAAAACCGGGCAAGTTGTCCTCTTGACACCAATGCCCACACACAGACAAACAGATGTAACAAAGAAATGGAACAAAAATAAACAAAGCACTGCAGCCTTGAGAACATCCAGAAGGCAAACCATTTCCAAAAGACATCACTTGTTTATCCCGTGGTATAAAATGCTTGTAGGGAGCAAGAGAAGCCTGAAGCTCATCCATAGAGAAAAAGCTCCCAATTGGGAACCATAGTAAAAACCTAAATGTGGCTTCCTCCGGCAACTTCTGCTGGACACTGTTTATGTGATGATGTTGCCTTGGTCTGTTCTATTTTTAAAAGAATGTTTACGTACATTGGTGTTTTAACTGCATGCATGTCTATGTGAGGGTGTCAATCCCCTGGAACAGGAGTTAGAGAGTTGTGAGCTCCCGTGTGGGTGCCGGGAACTGAACCCAGGTCTTCTTAGAATAGTAGTCACTGCTCTTAGCCACTGAGCCATGTCTCTTAGCCCCTGGTTGGTCTTTCAACCAGGCTACTCCAATTATGTCTGCTGGATATGGCAGACAACGGCTTTAATAATGTTTTGCTATCTGCTACTCACTCTTTATTCTCTGTGTAGCCTTGGCTGTTCTGGACTGTCTTTGTAGACCAGGCTGGCCTTGAACTCAGAGACCCACCTGCCTCTCTCTGCCTCTCAGAGTGCTGGGTAAAGGCCTGAGCCACCACACCCAGCTGCTTATTATATGCTTTTATAATGTCATTCAAAACTGAAAGTGCAGCTATCACTTATTATTTTCTGTACCATACAGGGCAAACTCTCCCGCTTTCCCCAAAGTCTTGACTGGCCTCTGGTACTGGTAGCGAGCAGCATCCAAATGTAGAGTGCTGAGGTAGTAGGCTGATTCTCTTCAACATGAGCACACACCAAGGACTTAGGAAAGAACAACATGGTATAATGTTGCCACGAGAATTAGTTAGCTAGCCCTGGGCAGATTATAAAAAGGATGATAATAACCTCTATTTACACAGTGTGAGGAAAAAGGGAGAGATTATATCTACAAACTACCTACACCTTGTTCATGGGACTATGAAATGCTACATACACTCTGCCTTATTATTTCATTATTATTATTTGTCTTTCTGAGACAGCGTTCTTTGTATAATACCGCCCTAGCTATCCTAGAACTCACAGAGATCAGCTAGCATCTGCCTCCCAAGTGCTAAGAGAAAAGGGATGAGGCGACATGCATAGTTGCTTTATTCTCTCCTCTTTTTTTCACTTTTTGAGACAGGGTTTCTTTGTATAGCTTGGCTGTCCTGGACTTGCTTTGTAGACCAGATAGGCTTTGAACTCACAGAGATCCAGCTGCCTCTGCCTCCCTGAGTGCTAGGATTAAAGGCGTGCAACACCAAGCCCAGCTATTTTTTTTTCTTTTTTAAAGATTTATTATTTATTTATACATTCTGCCTGCACCAGATCTTTATACAGTTTTCTGCCTGGATATATGCCAGCAGGCCAGATCAGTGCACCAGATCTCACTATAGATCACCGTAGTGCGCCACCATCTGGTTGCTGGGAACGGAACCTGGGTCCTCTGGAAGGGCAGTCAGTGCTCTTAACTGCTGAGCCACCTCTCCAGCCCCGGCTATTCTTTTTAATAAGAATTTATTTTTATTTTCTGTGCATTGGTATTTTGCCTGCAGGTATGTCTGTGTGAGGGTGTCAGATCTTGGAGTTACAGACAGTTGTTAGCCACCATGTGGTTGCTGGGAATTGAACCTGGGTCCTCTGGAAGAGCAGTCAACTGCTGAGCCACCTCTCCAGCTCCTGTTGCTTTATTCTTGATTAGTTACTCCAACATCCTCATTAGTCCATCGAGACTGTATCCTACGTCCTTTTATTTTGTTACAAGAGAAACAATGCCTTATTGCTAGTACTATGCGAAGAACAGGGTTAAACTTGCCTGTAGCCTGATCTACAAGCCTCCTCACTGAGCCTTGCTCAGGGAACTGAAGGCTACTTATACATTTCCTCTCTGCACTACACACTGTCAACAAAAATATAAGGAGGACTAGGAACCAACTCATTACACAACATCATTCTTTCTACTTAAAAGCTGGTATCAACTGTAACAGTCCCCCATTCAATTTTGCCACCAGATCCACCCACTCTGTCCTTTATCACAGTAGATTCAAGAGAACTGAGTTGGGCAAGTAATCCTAGTACCTGGGCGGCTGAGTGTGGGGCCACCCTTGACCAAATAATGAGTACCAGACCAGCCTAGGCCACAGAACAAGACTATGTCAGCAGCTGCCCATCTTCCCTCACTGCCTTGTCCAAAGGGAATTACTGAGCTGGGTGTGCTGGTACAAGTATGTAATCTCTGCATTCAGTAAACTGAGGCAGGAGGATCTTCAGGTCCAGGCTAGTATGGGATACACACTGACACTTATACCTACAGAGAAAGAGAGGAAGACAGACACAGACAAAGAGAACTACTTACTGTCTCCTTAATTCACAAGCATAGGATGAGCTGGCAAGATGATTAGGCGGGGACGCCGGCCACCTCTATGTCAACCTGCCACAAGCTAGGGTCATTTTTAAAGAGGGAACCTCAACTGAGAAATCCCACTGCATTGACCAGCAGGAGATGTTCTCGATTGACAAACAAGGGAAAGCCCAGCCATTGTGGGCAGGGCTATTTGTGGGCTGGTGGTACTGGGTGCTGTAAGAAAGCAGGCTAGGCAAACCGTAGGGAAGCAAGCCAGTAAGCAGTGAGCCTCCATTTTTTTTTTTCTTTTTATTTTCCTGCCTCCAAGTTCCTGCTTTGACTTCCCTCAGTGACAGACTATTACCTGGAGCTATAGGAGAAAGAAATCCTTTCCTTGCCAAGCTGCTTTTGATCATGGTGTATCATTTTAACAGCAGAAACCTAACTAAGACAGCAGGTAAAAACACTTGCCAAGCCTAACAATTTGAGATTGACCCCCAAGACTAGAGCATAAAGGGAGAACTAGCTTCCACAGGTCGTCCCGATATTTACACATATGCCGATGTACACATGCACAGGAGACATCAAGTGAACATAGAAAAGGCTCTCTCTTTTCCTCTTTCATATTGAGACATGGTTCTACTTTGTCACCCCGGCTGGCCTACACCTCTCTATGTAGACTAGGATTCTCTTGAACTCGCATTCATTCTCCTGCTTCTGTCTCCCCATGCTGGGATTCCAGGGATGCAGCACAAACTGCTGATACTGATGAAGACTTGCTTCTCTCCTATTCTGCCCTCGACACTGCTCTTTGGTACACCAGACCTAGTTCGGCTCACAGGCTTGATGACTAGATAGCTAGATGACTATCGCAAGCTCCATAGAAGAGATGGCCACGGATGGCAAAACGGTCTGAAGTAAAAGTGGGAAAGGCCAGGTAGGAAGCGGTCTCTACTCACATCCTTCTCCTGAATGGTGCACTCTTTACAATAGTAGGCATCGGAGACTCCGGGACCTCCACAGATCACACAGCGACCCTGGTATGATCCATAGTTACACTCATCACATATGCGAACCAGGGTGCAGGGACGCACGTAGGAATCACAGATAACGCATTTGCCATCACCTGCAAAGAGAGGAGAGCAGAATATCGTCACTCTAATTACTAAAGCTCTTTCCTCTGCTCTATGGGGAAATAACTAGTCTCCTTTTAACAGTGACAATAGGACCTTCCTCTATTTTGACAGCATAAGCCTTACCCTATATCCACCTTCCTTCAACGTATCTAACTGTTAATTAATATAAGGGAAGAGTCTGAAATATTATCTGGGAGTTTTTAAGTCCATGTAGCCACAGTCAAACTGCATGCCTTCTTGTACACACATTGGGCTGGGAAGGTTAACATGACCGTGATAATTCTTACTGTCCAAAAGTAGACATTTTTAAAAGACCTAAGTATAAAGTATTAAAAATGTGCCAGCTTAAGCGGGAGGATGGTGGGGGAGCCTTTGGTTGCATCCAGGTAGTCACTGTCCGTTGCAGCCTGGCATATCTAGTCAAAGGTTCTTTGCTGTTCCTCTGGAATTAATGGCTTATTGGCTCTTCAAAGAATTGAGAACACAAGAGATGGGAAAGCATGTTCCGCTTACATTTTTCACACAGTCTCCCGATAGCTGCAAGATCAAAGACAGTAAAACAGAGTTAAAACTGAGGTTGTGATTTAGCAAGGAAGTTGTATCTCAGGCTGAGTATAGAGGATGGGGCAGACCACAATGACTATAGCGAGCCCTTGAGGATAGCTGTCATAATCTCCTTTTCCCCGTCCCCCACCCCCGCTTTGAGACTGAATCCAGCTGTGTAGCTTGGGCTAATCGGAAGTTCTTAGGAAGCTCAGGTCGGCCTTGAAATCACAGCAATTTTCCTGCCTTGGCCTCCCAGGTGCTGGGATTACAGTCGTGAGCTACCACGCTCGGCCTATGGCCCTAAATTTTGTTTTACACCAAAGCCCCATCCCGAAAAAGCTGTCCGGAACTGGGACGGCTTCTCCACTCCTGGCACAGACGCGCCCTCCCGCACTCTCTATCAGCAGCCACGGCGCGTGCGCGCTCCTAGAATACCCAGGGTCCGTAAGGCGCGAAACGTGGAGCCTCAAACCAAAGCCCTGAGGGCGAGGTGAAGGCCCCCAGTCCCCGGTCCCCAACATCATCCCACTGAAACAAAAGGGGGCAGGGCGCCAACTCACCAACTCCAGCCTGCTTGCGGCAGAAAATCAAATCTGGATGGTGTTTAGCCATAACTCTCCCCTAAACAGGCGACCGGAAGCTCCAGGAACTTCCGCCCGCCCTTTAACCTGCGCGGTTCCTACCTCCACTTCTCCGTGATTGGCCGTCAATGCGTCCATCAGTTTTGGTGCCCCAGTGCACTAAATCTCGCTAGTTCTCGCGAGAGTTGCCTAAGCGCAAATTTCGCCGGGTCCCAGCAGGTGCGTCAAAGGTTTTTATTAAAAACGTCTCCCCCCTCCCCCCCAGTTTTGAACGCATACACTGAAGTCTATTTTGGGGTGATTTTTTCGACATGTTATTTTTTTTTTTTTGCGCTGGGCTTTGAAGCCAGGGCCGCAAAGTGTGTGGGTTTGGGGTTTCCTCTCCGAGTCTCGGGAGTGAAGGATGACCTTGAACTCATGACTTCCCTCCAGCTTCCACTCCCAAGCGCCGAGGTGACGTCAAGCCGGCACTTCCTTCCACGCCCGGTGCCCGTCACGGAAGCCCCACCCACTGCACCGTCGCGGAGTGTGGCTCGGGCCCCAGCCTTTACCCGTGAGAGGCCACGCCCCCGCCCCTTACCGCTTAAATACGCCACGTGCCGCGTCACTTTCACGCGACCTCATCTTTGTCAGTGCACAAAATGGCGCCTTACAGCCTGCTGGTGACCCGGCTGCAGGTGAGCGGGCTCCGAGGTGTGGGTTCCCGGGGGCCGGGGGGCCTCCTGCCCTGCCGGCGGCGGTAGGCGAGGCCAGGCCGGGCCGGCCTCGACCGGGCCTGACTTTTCGCGTACTTATGCCTGTCTCGGGCCCAGCGCCCTCGTCCTTTACTGCGATGCCCTAGGTCAAGGCGTCCCTGGCGCGGTCAGTTAGTTCCCAGTCTCCGTCCCCGCCGGGCGGGAAAGCCGAGTCTGAGGGTGGAGGGACCCCCTATTTTCTGAGGGCCGAATTCTTCGCCGCCCTTTGGGCGGTTTTTTTTTTTTCCTGCCCAAGGTGAAGACAAGGTGATTGGGGGGCGCGGTCGTGGTGGGTTCCCCTAAGCCGGGTGCTTGCAGCCCTCCCTTCCTGTCAGCAGCATTGACCGGCTAGCCGTAGGTAGATGTGGTTGCCGGGCCTGGAGTCAGCGGAAGCGGTACTACCTTCGAGCGCACTCGGGGTCGTGCTGTAAGAAGACTAACGTAGTCAACAGTTACGATAACAGTTTCTCACCTTTTCACAGGACGTCAAAACTGTTAGCTAATAGTACTTGATTTATGTATTTGATCTGGCGACATCGATGTCAGATAATTTTTTCACCCTGCTTGATAGATAGGAAAGTTCTGACTTTCATAGTGTCACCAAAGTGCGATGGCCTGAGCAGTGCCCTGCAGGCCTTCTGTGTTCCTTGTTCATGGCAGCCTAATGTTACAAAGCTTTCTGAATCGGGGTGTGATCGTGTGAGACCCCAGATTGTATTTGTCAGAGTATAGAATCTGGTATTTTAAATTCACCGTTAGTTGCTTTTTGGATACTAGGTGGAAAGACGAGAAGACTCAACAGTTTGACCTTGACTCTTTGTAATGAGACATCTAGGAAATTGACTATGACTGTCAGATGCTTTTCACTGCTAACTTGACAGCCTTAGGAAGGTATAATATTAAATTTACTGTAAAGTGTGTATTTTGTTAATACAAATAAAGCAATAAAACACCTGTAGACATCTGCCAACCTTTTATTATTATTTTTGTGAACCTGCTTTGGGCCAAGTGGCACAACTTTGAACAGAATTAATAATTTAAAAAGTTATGTACAGTACTCTCAGGAATCATTATTACATGAAATTTTATTTATCACACTACTTAAAATCAAACAGTAAAATCAAACTCATCATTTTTCTGAACAAATTAGTTGGATTTTGGCCAAGGTAAGTGATTTGCAGCTAAATTATCTCTTCTCTTCAGATCCTTTGATTCTGTAAACAGTACGGTTAGTTTTGTTCTGACCCTGTTGTCCCATAATTTAGTGGAGTCAGGTAAAGGTTATTTAATAGGTTAAATGACTTTTGAGTTTGGAAGAAAGGAATAATGTCACATTTGGATCTTGGAAGGTAGAACTGTGTAGAAAGAGATCTGGGCTGTAGTTCATGCCCTGCCCTGATCCCATGACCTTGTGCATGTAACTGTTCAAGTTCTATCAGTTGGGGATGGTCTTCATTACACAAAAATTTACTGAGCACTTAATTATGAGGTATTAGAATGTGTTTACAGTGATGTAGTTCAACCTCTTTTACATGTGGAGAATCTAAGAAATTGACTGCTGACGTCGGCATTAAGATCAAAGTCTTATATATTCAGCTAACATATAGTATACCAGTTCCTCCAAATAGCCAGGCTGTCTCAGGTAATATCTAGTAACTCTGTACTCTGAGAACATCTCTCATTTGCCTTGTTTATGCTTGTGTGCATTTGAGAAGTGATATTTACCACCTCAATAGCTCTGTCTGACCAACCTCCAGCATATGCTGATTACTTCATCAATATTATTGACTTTTTCTTTCCTTCTTTCTTGTTTTGGTTTTGTTTCTGAAACTAGTTTTTACTGTGTTGCTTGTACTGGCCTTAAACTTTCAATTTTGCTGCCTCAGCCTCCTGAGTACTTTTGAGTACAGGCACATGTACCATGGCTGGTAGAAAAATTGGTAAGAAGACAATCCCTGTTTTATTTGGTTTTTGTTTTTGTTTTTTAGTGTATTTATGTGCCTTGTGTGCATGATTGCAGTGTTCACAGAAGCCAGAAGAGAGAATAAGACCCCTGGAACTGGAGTTACAGATGGTTGTGAGCTATCATGTTGGTGCTGGGAGTTGAATCTGGGTCCTCTGGAAGAACTGACAGTGATGGGAACCACTGAGCCATCTCTCTAGTCTCCAGTCCCTGTTCTTGTGGAATGTCTATATATACTAATGTACTCTTGGAGGTCTTTCTCAGCTTGACTATTCATTCATCCTCTTTTGACTGGACAAATGTGATGGAAGATGACAGAATGGCTGATATCAGTGCTGCCACCAACAATAGCATTTACCTTACTGTGTAATTGTTTATGCCTTTGGGATAAGGCAGACCTATGAGCAGCAGCACTTCAGGTGAAGAAAGAGAGGAAATAGAGCAGAAAGGTGAATAGCGTGAACTCATGCACTACAACACCTGGTTTAAATCCTGTCTTTCGTGCTAAGTGACTGTGGCATTCATCAGGTTACTCCATTTCTCTGTACCTGTCTCCTTATCTTTCAGAATCCATAATGTATCTGTTTTAATCAAGGAACAGTTGTAAAGTGTTTAAAACCCTCCCTGACAACAGTAGGAGTTCTATGTGTTCCTTAAGATAAATGCGCATCAGACTTTATCACTACTCTTTTGATGGTTATGACAGTACTTGGATCTGCATATTTCTGATTCCAAAACCTGAGGGCAGCAACTGGCAGTGTACTGTTTCCCTTTGGCACTAAGACTCATCCTTGGACCAAGACACCACTGGCTCCATAATCTAAGAACAGCACAAAATTCAACACATTCTGTTGTTTTTTACAGTATTTGCTACCAGGTAGAAAGATTAGAAACCAAATGAAAAAATAGAGGCTGAGATTTTTTTTTAAGCCACATTCATGTTTTGGGTTTTAATATTTACTTCTGTGCATTTGACTATAGGTAAATAGAAGGTGGTGCTTCAAATGTGCTTCTCCAGTATGTGGCTTTGCCTTGATGCTCTGGGATCTGGGTTCTCATGTGACCTTGAGGAAATCTTGCAACTTCTTGCACGTAGTTCTAGAATAGTAGTTAACTACCCAGAAGTCTGATATCTGTGGTGGAGTTTTCTACAGAATTGTATGTTTTAAAAACAAAACAAGCTGGGTGCTCGTAGTGCACACCATTAATCGCAGCACTGTGGAGGCAGAAGCAGGCAGATCTCTTGAGTTCGAGGCCAGCCTGGTCTACAAAGAAAGTTCCAGGACAGCCAGGGCTGTTTTGCAGAGAAACCCTTGTCTCAAAAAAGCTACACACACAGACACACCTCTCCCTTTGAATATTAAACAGGTTACTGTGATACTTTCCTAGATCAACTGATGCTTTAAATTGGAAGAGTTTGTTTAGGCTGGGGAGATGGCTTAGTGGTTAAGACCACTGACTGCTTTTCCAGAGGACCTGAGTTCAATTCCCAGCACCCACATGGCAGTTACTGTCTGTAACTCATATCTGACACCCTCACACAGACATACATGTAAACAAAACACCGATGCATATAAAATAAAAATAAATACAAATATAAAAAAGAAAGGGTTTGTGAATTTGTTAGTGGACCAACTGTAGATCTCAGATTTAACTATCAAGCATACTATGTTGAGGACTAGCAGAGCCAGCATTGCTAGTCTGAATCAACTGCTTCTAAGATGTTTATTGCAAGCTTGCTGCCTAGCACTGGTCTAGGCTCTGGGAGTGTGAAAACAAACTTAGGGAAGCTAAGCCAGGTACAGTGGCACATGCCTGAAGCCTCAGCACTCTTGAGACTGAGGGAAAAGGGGAGACAAATAAGAAATTTGGTTATGCCTGGTGGTGGCACATACCTTAAACCCAGCACTGTCAGAGGTGGAGCAGAGGGGAACTGAATCTTTATGAGTTAGAGGCCAGCCTGGTGTACATAGTGAGTTACAGGACAGCCAGAGATATATAATAGAGAGACCTATCTCAAAAACAGATAAACAAAAGAAGTTGGTTGTTATGAAGCCAAATAGAACAAAGATAAGAAGAAGAAAAATGAAGACAAAAGAGCATAGAGAGGTAAAGGGTATGGGTTCAAAATGTCTCAGTTTCAGCTCTGAGTGGTTTGGGATAAGTACAGAACTGAGGTTTGGGTAATAACAAGATAGCCATTTAGTATTTGGGAGGAAGAGATGTCAGGTAGAGGACCAACATGTACAGAGTACCCAGTGGAGGTTTAAGCTGCTGTGTTTAGGGTAAGACAAGGCAGTGTGATTGATGTCAAGGGAGGGGAGAGCCTGAGAAGGAAATGAGGTCATGAAGACTTGTTAAGGAACTTCAGGTTGACACCCATTTG